ATGGTGTGTTCCACAGTCTGACCCTGACTTTGTTTTGACTGATGATATGGAGCTTTTACACTGTCTGTTTCTACAGATAAAATCAATTTGATTTCTGTGTATTCTATCTGGTGAGGTCAATGTGTATAGTCATCTTTTATGTTGTTTAAAAAGGTATTTGCAATGAAGAAGTCATTGGTCTTGCAAATATCTATCATGGGAGTTCAGTGATGCAGGTCATTGGCAATGGCTCTTTGGGGGTTGCTGCAAGTCTGATCCGGCAGAGCTGTCGGGCCTTTTGCCCTTCATCCTTCATTAAGGAAATAACCAATCAATACAGTATTCTCTTCAAACAAGAGCAAGTCCACAATGATGCCATTTGGTCAGCTGCCTGGGAAACAAACAAGAAAGAAAATTCGACATGGTGGTCACAGGCTCCCTAGATAACCTGGTGAAGGTCTGGACATACGTCCTGATGGGAAATATCTGGTCAACAGAGTCATACATGGAATCATCGATATTTTTGATATTTCAACCAGATAACTTCTGTTCATGCCAGAAGGCCATGCTATGCCCATTCGATCCTTGACCTTTACCCTGGATTCTCAGCTCCTCTTTACTTCTTCAGATGATAGCCAAATCAAGATCTATGATGTATAGCATGCCAGCTTGGCTGGCACGTTGAGAGGCCATGCATCCTCGGTACTGAATGTTGCATTTTGTCCTGATGATACTCACTTTGTTTCCAGTTAATCTGATGAAAGTGTGAAAGTTTGGGATGTTGGAATGAGGACATGTGTGCACACCTTCTTTGATCACCAGGATCAGGTATGGAGAGTAAAATAAAACGGGAATGGTTAAAAAATTGGGTCTGTTGGAGATGACTTGGAAATTCACATCTATGATTGTCCAGTTTAAACGTCAACATCTTCGAGCCTAAATGCTGCAGTGAGACTGTGCCGACTGGTCACAACATTCCTTACCATTCCAGGTCTGTTTAAAAGAAATGGAGCATTTATTGTAGCAATGGCTTACATTTTACAGATACAAGATATATCTGTGTTCATTGGGACTGCTGTTCATACTTGAACATAAAGTGTTATTAAATGCAAAGAAAAAAAAAATCTATCATGCGATCTCCAGCATCGTTTCTTTCACCAAGGTCATATTTTCCAACTCCTGATCCTTCCTCTTTGTTTCCAACCTTTGAATTCCAATCACCAGTAATGATCAATACATCTTAATTACAAGTTGATCAATTTCACACTGAAAAATTTGGTAGAATTCTTCAATTTCATCATCACTGGCTTCAGTGGTTGGCTTGAATAAACTTGAATAATAGTATATTAACTGGTGTTCCTTGTAGTCATATGGATATTATCCTATCATAGACAACATTGTATTTCAAGACCGATCTTGAAATGTTGTTGTTGTTGTTGTTTTTGACGATGAATAGGATGCCATTTCTCTTTAATTTGTCATCTGGCATAGTAAACCCTGTGATTTTCAGATTGAAAGTGACCGATACCAGTCCATTTCAGTTCACTAATACCTAAGATATCAATATTTATGTATTCTATTTTATTTTTGACAACTTCAAATTTTCCTAGATTCTTACTTTGTAAATTCCTTGTTCTGATTTTTAGTGGATGTTTACAGCTGTTTCTTCTCATTTGGAGTTGTGTCCCAACAGCAAATGAAGGTCCAGAAAGCTTTACTCCATTTGCATCATCATAGTCAACACGATTCTGAGGAGGCAGCTCTTTCCCAGTCGTATTTGAATGACTTTCAATTGGAGGGACTCATTTTCCAGCACTGTATTTAACAATATTCTGGTGCTTTTCATCATGTTTTATATTCAATATTCTGTTGCTATCTGACGGTGTTTCACTATTGTTCGTAAGGTTTTCAGTGACTAAATATTCAAAAGTAATCTGTCTCTCCTTCCTAGTCTGTCTTCATCTGGAAGCCTATATGACACCTGTTCATCATGGGTGACCCTTCTGTTGTTTAAAATACCAGTGGCATACTTCCAGAATCACAACAACACACACACCACCGCAGTACAGCAAACTGACAGATGAGTGTTAGATAATCTCCCCATATTGTTTTCACACCTTGTTTGGAATGAATTCAAATGTGGATCTCTTTCAGTTGGTTGGCCAGGAGATATCGTCTCATTTTCTTGATGTAGACAAAAGAGCACCGACGGCCTTGAATCCATGTGCTGATACATTTCAATTGGCATTCTGTCAATTCCTGGAAACTTGTTTTATTCCAATGCTTTCAATGCACCAGGTCTGTTGCTTGTATGTGTGTTGATTGTGGATCCAAGAAAAATGAAGTCTTTGACATATCAGTATTTTCTTTATTTATCATGATGTTATTTATTGGTACTGTTGTAAGGATTTTTGTTTTCTTTACATTGAGGTGCAATCCTGAAGGCTGTAGTTTTTTTTATCTTTCAGCAAGCAAGGTTGTATCATCTGCATATATCAGGTCATTAATTAATCTTCCTCCAATTCTGATGTCATGCTCATCTTCATATAATCCAGCTTCTCGGATTAATAGCTATGATTATGAGATTTGGGAATTCTGGGCTAGAAAGATGTACTTCATGGGAGGAGTCAGAAGGGGGGCTTTACTCTCGATGACACTGAGGCACTCTGATGGGATCGGTGAGATGGATGCGTTCCAGTGGTGTCACTCGTCGGGGGGTGGGAATGAGGTCTGCACCAGCAATGTCAGAGGAGTGACTAGAGGATGGTGGCAGCAGGCAGCCAGTGATGCAGGGCAAGGGCAGCCAAAGCAAGTGCTGTCACAAAGTTTCATGTACCTGTCACCAGGGTTGTAGCTCATTACCACCACCAGCCCTCCCACCCCCTCCCACCTCCTCATCCACCTGCCTGTCATGGTTGGTGGGGGTGGGGGTGGGAGAGGTCGGCCACGGCACCCACCATTGGGTAAAGAAGAGATTCTCTGCCTTGGCTAATAGGAGAGGGGAGGAGCCTCAGGAAGCCATAAGGGACAGGACCAGCAGGAGCAAGGGTATTTGTCAGCTGGCTGCTCATGGTGGGGTGTGTGTGTGACACTGTGAGTCAGTGCACTGAGTAATGCCAACCCCAGTGATACCACTGAAGAGCTCTGTTCAGTCTTAGAAAGTCCTTCACTCAGACCAATGCCATGTGGACAGTGAGTCCCATTCATCTTGTCTTACAGACTTTTCTTTCTGGTTAGAATTGCGATTTTGATAGGCTGGCTTGAGCAGTCCATGGCCCCAGTTTCAGGTGGACAGTGCAGCCAATCAGAGACAGACTTGCTGGGTCTCTCCTGGGACTCGAGGAAAGAGATGACTAAGCTCTAGTTCAAGGGCAGCAGGAGCTTTCAGAGAAGACGTACTGCTTCTCACAAGGCCCCATCTCTTTTATCCAAAGGACCTTGGGCCTGGCTGCCTTCTTCTTTTTCCCACAGGAGAGCCCCCTTTCCTGCTCAAGAATCACTCATGAGACACTCAGTCCAAGCAGTACACCCTCCCCTCCCCTCTCCTATTAGCCAAGGTAGAGAATCTCCTGTTTACCCAATAGTGGGTGCCATGCCCCCCCCCCCCCCCCAGTCAACCATGACAGGCAGGTGGATGGAGAGTGTGAGGAGAGACACAGTTTAGGCAGGGGCTGGTAAGTGGAGGCCCAACCCCTTCCACCATCCGCGCTGATGGGTGTTTCTAAGATGCAACTCAAGCCACAGCTAATAATGCAGATTCAAGCATGTTCCTGACGTTGCTTTCATTCCTTTGTTAACCCACGAGACCACACATCCATCCTTTCATCTTTGCTGATGCCTGTTCTGCTACCCTGACCTTCAGAGAGGTGGTGAAATGTTGGCTGGTGTGAGAACTTAATATGTGCAAAGTGCCTAGAATAGTGCTAAGGACAGAGTTGTTGTTGTTAAGTGCCGAGTCAGTTCCAACTTATAGTGACCCTGTATAGGGTTTCTGAGGAGTGGCTGATGGGTTTGAGCCATCAATCTTGAGATTCAAACTGACTTTGTATAGTGCCACACCAGGGCTCCTGTAGATGCTCATTAAACATTGGTTTTTGTTATTATTATTCCACAGGACATCCAAAGGACTGGGCTGAGAGAGGAACAAAGGTCTTCCATTCAAAGGTGGCCAGGATGGGATGGGGCCATGTGTGCTGAGGAGAAGGCTGGGACTTGTGTGGGCCTTCTTTGCCAGGCTCTGATGATCTACTTGGGGAGGGTGAACACAGTTTAAATTTCTCTCAGCCAGTCCTGTATCCCTGCCTCTTCCAGGAAGCCTTCCTGCCTTGGCTCAGGAGACAGAAGTTCTTATTCTGCAGCTGGGGCTAGGCTTGAGGTAAAATTGGAGGTCAGCTGGATCTGGGAAGCTCTTAGACTCTGATTTTGGGTGATTCATTGCCCTTCCTGGACTCTGTTCTTGTTCATATGTGAAATGAACCAACTCTCCAGGTTGTAGAGACTTTAAGAAAATTGCCAACAACAGTATCATTGTTCTAGGAGCTCTGGTAGTGTAATGGTTATGAGTCAGGCTGCCAACCTCAAGGTCAGCAGTTCAAACCCACTTTTTCTGCAGGAGAAAGATGAGGCTTTTTGTTCCCATAAAGATTTGCAGCCTCAGAAACCCTGTGCAGGGTCGCTATGAGTCAGAACCGACTCCATGGTACTTAACAACAACAACATCATTCTACCTTTCTCCCTGTCCTACTCAGACTCCTAGGAAGCTCTACCCCTGTTCCCAGGATGAACAAATGGGCACATGTCTTTGTGTGTGAAATCTTTATTCAGCAGTAAGGCTACCTCAGGGGATAACCCCTCCTTAGCCCATGTGTCCAGTAATTTGTATCAGGCCCAGCTTCCATGGCTTTAGGAGGTTTGAGGTGAACATGGTGGCCAGTGGTCCTCACCCGTACTTTGATGGGGTGGGAGTCAGTGAGCTTGGTGGGGAAAGTGCCCAGTGTGGGGTCTGTGTGTCCAGGATCTTGTCAGCGGCACCCTGTGCAGGCCACATTCACGCACAGCTCACAGTCATCTGTAGAGATGGTCCCTGGGCAGGTGGAGAAAAATAGTCAGTGAATCTGACCTGAAATCAGGCAGCCAGAGAGGATCCACTTAGGGCAGGTGCTGGGGCAGCTTAGAGCCAGGAACTTTAGGAAGAGAATTGTTGTTGTTGGTAAGGACCATAGTGTGTGCGTTTTCAGCTCATAAGGTATAGGGTTTCAAAGGAACAGCTGGTGGGTTTGAACTGCCAACCTGTGGTTAACAGTCCAAGGCTTATCCTACAGCACCACACCAGGACTCTAATAAGAAGGAGAATTTGAAGGTTCAAATTCCAAGTTCTCTCTTAACTAGTGTTTACTTGCCAAAGTCTCATAAATTCTCAGTGGCTGAGTTATTCCTGTCAAATGGAGAGAAAAGAGTAACAACTTTGTGAGGAAAGAATGTGTACAATAAATGCTGTATAAATGCTAGCTAATAGCTCTCTGCTCCTGGCCAAAGCCACTCCATCCCTTAAATTTCAGTGTAGATGACAATTCCTTTGAGAAGCCTTTCTAGAGGTCTTGTTCCAACCAAAGATATGATACCTGCCCTCTGTGTTTGGCATTGTAGTCACTTTCTGTGTATGGGTCTGTTCCTGCCATTACTGAAGTCTTTGAGGTAGGTTCTCAGTCTACCTGACATTCAGTACTAAGAGCAGGAAAGTCCTTGTGAGGACAGGGGCTGAGTTTCTTCATTCTCCCTGACCTCAGCCACTAGGTGTTCAATAGCAGAGAGGAGTTGGAGGAGTTGGGTTGGAGGAGGAGACCAAAAATGGTCAAGGATCAGGAGGCGGTACGAGGGGCTCTACCCCTCTCTCCCAGTATCAGGTAGGAAAGTCAGCAGGGATAGCCAACACTTACTCAGGGCTCTGAAGATGCTGGCAGCTTCCTTGGAGGTGCAGACAGGCTGCAGGTCCAGAGGTAGGTCTGGGTGCTGGCACACAGAGGGCAAGAGATTCTGGGTCTGCGGGCGGGACCTGGGCATTTGCTGCCCCTCCAGGTCACTCAGCTTCTTCACAGATTCCAGCTGGACCTGGAAGCCTTGGTACTAGATGGGGAGGATGGGAAGAGATCAGAGCATATCTAATCCTGGGCCTGACAGACTCCATCCACCACAGGACCTGGGATTCCTCTGCTAGAAAGGCCAGGCCACATTGAGAGACCTGCCTGGAGTATTGGGATGGTGGCAGCTGACTTTTCTTCTCAGTAAACATCACTGAGACATCAGAATGACATCAGATCAAGGCTGGGGCTCAGTGGTTTTATGCATGGCTTTAGAGATGAGCAGACTGTGGTTCAGACCCTGTCCCAAATGACTGCCTGGGTCTTTCATATTCTGAGTCTCAGATTCCTCATCTATTAAATGGTATTCATCATACTCCTTGGGTGTAGTGAACTGCAAGCAAGTTCCTACACAGTCCCAGGCACCCAGTGTGCTCCTCTTGAGCTGACATGACAATATGATGATGCCTCCAAGGTGGCTAAACCCCAAACTCAGATACCAGGGAGCTACCTGTCCAGCATCCTTCCAAGGACCCTTCTCTCTTACCTGGAGGCCTGCCAGAGTCAGACATGTGACTCCCAGAGCCACTTGCTTCCCTGCCAAGCTGGGAGAATCAGCACCTTCCTACCCACACAGGTGCCACTGCCGCCATGATGCCCAAGACTGCTTCCCATCCTCTGTTCCTGGCTCCCTTATGCTCATCTCTAAGGAGGAAGATTCTGACTCATGGCAATTCTATATGTGCAAGAGTTACCTCCATGGAAATTTTTTTAATGTTGACTACCTCTTCCATTTGGCTGAGCTGCTGGGGCACAGAGGGGACCTCCTCCCCACTTGGCTCATCAAGGGCAAAAACCTCATCTTGTTCCTCATTCTGACCTCTGTGATGAGACCGACTTTGGTGGAGAGCAGTGCTCATAAACAGTAGTTTGTTATTGTCGTCACCATCATCATTGCTGTTGGCATTCCACCTGCCACCACCCTCCATCTGTCTTGGTTCTTGGGGTGTGATTGGGTGTTGGGTTGAGCACTGAGCCATGTGCTCTCCCTGCTCCCCATAGAATTCCCAGCATTCCCTCTTAAGCCAAATACCCCAACTTGGAAACCTTCAGTCTAAGGATAGTCTGGCCCAAGCAACGCACCTTGATATAGACTGACTGTGTGCTCTGCAGCAGAACCAGGAGGACTATAGTCACTCCTGTGAGGCTCCCTGATACTGTCCAGCTGCCCATCCTGCTCCTTTGTGTTCTCACCGCCACTGTCCACCTGGCTCCCACCTGCTCGCCCGTCTAGCTGCTCCTTATAGACCAGGTCCCAGCACCCTGATCACTCATTAACTGGACTGGGGTGGGGTTGACAGATGGCTGACTGACAAGGCCAAAACTAATTCCAGGGAGGGGTTTGGTGGTACTACAGGCGTGGCAGCCCAGAGCATACTGGGATTTGTTGTATGACAAAGGCTTGCTGTGTTCTGTGTTCTGGGCTCTGTGCTAGGACCTTGTCTGCCCACTACTTCTGTTTGCTGCACATGACAACTGTAAAAGTGGAATGATACAGTGACCACTTTACAGACAGGGAAAGTGAAGCACAAGAGGTGAACTGACTTGCCCTAAATAACAGAGCGAGTCAATGATAGAGTGGGGACTCCAGCTTTGAACAAAGACAAAGGGTGTAGCCAAACAGGCTGACCCAGGGTTAAAGTCAGACAGATACAAGGCTGGGCTGGGCTCAGGATTTTCTGTCCCCAGAACATGTCTCTCTTACCCATTCTCCCAAGTTCCATTTTAGGGCCATCTCTTAGATTGCTCCTTGCCCAGGCCCTCAACCTGCACAGACTTATTATCTTCCACTAGTGCCTGGGCACCCTCGTCATGATTCACCTACTGCACCCACTTATACCCTCCAGAAGCCAATAACCTAACTCAGCAACAGGAGTAAAGATCACCAATTTTGGAGTCAGATTGACCTAGGTTGAAATTCTGGTCCCACTGAGGCTATGTGATCTTGGATAAGTCACGTTAACTCTGATGAAATCTTCATTTCCTTTTTCAAGCAATGAGCATAATCATAGAAGCCAGGACATAGGGTTGCTATGAGAGTGGTAAGGCTCAGGTGGGCCCGAGCCTGCCTTTATCTCCTGAGTAACACATGCTGGAGTAGATCCCTTAGAGTATTGTCACCTTCCATGGTGGTAATGCATAACCCAACACCTAAGTGGATGCAAGTTATGTCAGGGAGAAGAGGCCAAAGTCCATGAAGGAGTTGTCACTATTGCCAGCCCAGGCAGCTGTAAACAGTTGTCAGACATAGAATCTAGCATGTGGTAGGCACCGTATACATAATGATGAAGTTCTGAGAGACCATCTTGACATTCATAACTCCATCCTCCAACTTGGTGGCTAAAATTTGATGTCACCTAGGTCCTAACACCAGTCCTCATTATATATATATATATCCTGATCTCATCTCATGCTGCTATAAGACATTCTAACCACCTGCAATTCCCATCTCCCTCTCTCTTATCTTGGGTTTAAATGGAAGAGGCATGAGTGAACTTTGATATTTCCAATGACTTTCCTTGAATCCATAGTTCAGTCTTTGCTAGGTTTAGAGTATGAAGATATGGTTCTACTCTCATATGCTTTCTCATCTCTAAAATGAAGATAATCAGATAACATATCTCTCATTTATTCAACCCTCATTATATGCTAGGCACAATGTTAAATATGGGTGTAATTAATTTTAGTCCTATAACCAGTTTTAACCATTTGTCATCCTGTCGATTCTGATTCATGGCAATTCTATATGTGCATAGTAGAACTGCCACCACTCATGGGCCAGTTTGTCATACTGTGTGGCTTGCATGTTGCTGTGATTCTGGAACCTATGAGACTTGTATTTTAAATACCAGCAGGGTCACCCAGGGTGGACAGGTTTCAGCTGAGCTTCCAGATGAAGACAGACTAGTAAGAAGGAATGACAAACTTTTGAATATTTAGTCACTGAAAACCTTATGAATAGCAGAGGACCATTGTCAGCACCAGAATATTGAACATGATGAAGAGCACCAGAATGTTATCTGATATAGTGCCAGAACCTTCAACCCTCAGGTTGGAAGGCACTCAAAATGCAACTGGAGAAGAGCTGCCTCCTCAAAGGAGAGTTGACCGTGATGACATGAATGGAGTAAAGCCCTCTGTACCTTCATTTGCTAATGGGGCACAACTCAAAATGAAGAGAAACAGCTGTCAAAATCCATTAATAATCAGAACAAGGAATATATGAAGTATGAGTCTTAGGAAAACTGGAAACTGTAAAAAATGAAATGGAATGCATAAACATCAATATCTCAGGAATTAGTGAGCTGAAATGGACTGGTACTGACCACTTTGAATCTGACAGTCACATGGTTTACTATGCTGGGAATGACAAATTGAAGAGGAATGGTGTAGCATTCATCATCAAAAAGAACATATCAAGATTTGTCTTGAAGTACAACACTGTCTGTGATAGGACAGTATCCATACTCCTACAAGGAAGACCAGTTAATACCACGATTATTCAAATTTATGCACCAACCACTAAATCCAGTGAGGATGAAATTGAGGAATACTACCAACTTCTTCAGATGTATTTATTGATAATTACAGGCGATTGGAATGCAAAGGTTGGAAATGAAGGATCACACTTATGGGAAAACATGGCCTTGGTGATAGAAATGATGCTGGAAATTGCATGATAGAATTTTGCAAGACCAGTGACTTGTTCATTGCAAATACCTTTTTAAAACAACATAGAAGATGACTATATACACTGACCTCACCGGATGGAATACATAGAAATCAAATTGACTACATCTATGGAAAGAAATGGTGGAAACATTTCTTCATCAGCCCAAACAAGGCTAGGGGCAAACTGTGGAACAGCCTACCAATTGCTCATATGCAAATTCAGGCTGAAGCTGAAGAAAACGAAAGCAAGTCCATGAGAGCCAAAATATGACCTTCAATATATCCCACCTGAATTTAGCGATCCTCACCATAACAGATTTGATACATTAAACACTAAAGATGGAAGACCAGAAGAATTGTGGGATGGCATCAAGAACATCAGACTGGAAGAAAGCAAAAGTTCATTAAGAAGACAAGAAATAAGGAAAAGACCAAAATGGATGTGATAAGAGACTCTGAAATTTGCTCTCCAGCTTACAGATGCTACGGCAAATGGAAGAAATGAGGAGGTAAAAGAGTCAAACAGGAAATTTCAAGGTCAGCTTGAGAAGACAAAGTTAAACATTATAATGAAATGTGCAAAGACCTGGAGTTAAAAAACCAAAAGGGAAGACTATGCTCAGCATTCCTCAAGCTGAGGGAACTAAAGAAAAAATTTAAACCTCAAGTTGCAGTATTGAAGAATTTTATGGGCTAAATATTGAATGATGCAGAAAGCATCAAAAGAAGATGGGAGGAATACAGTCACTGTACCAAAAAGAAATGGTTGACGTTCAACCATTTCAAGAGGTAGTATATGATCAAGAGATAATAATCCTGAAGGAAGAAGTCCAAGGTGCATTGAAGGCATAGGCAAAGAACAAGGCACCGGGATTGATGGAATACAAATTGAAATATTTCAACAAACTGATGTGGCACTGGAGGCACTCACTCATCTATGCCAAGAAATTTGGAAGACAACTACCTGGCCAATGGACTGGAAGAGATCTGTATTTGTGCCCATTCCAAAGCACCAACCACTAAAACCAGTGATGATGAAATTGAAGAGTTCTACCAACTTCTTCAGTCTGAAATTGATCAAATGTGCATTTAAGATGTATTGATAATTACTGGTGATTGGAATGCAAAGATTGGAAACAAAGAGGAAGGATCAGTACTTGGAAACAATGCTGGAAATCACATGGTAGAATTTTGTAAGATCAATGACTTGGTCATTGCAAATGCCTTTTTTTTAAGGAATGCAGAAATTATCAGACAATATCATTGATCTCTCATGTGAGTTAAGTTTTACTAAAGAAAATACAAAAATGATTGCAACTATATATTCACAGGAAACTTCCAGAGGTTCAAGCCAGATTCAGAAGAGGGTGTGGAAATGAGGGATACCATCTCTGATGTCAGATGGATCTTGGCTAAAAGCAGAGAATAACTGAAAGATGTTTACCTGTGCTTTATTGACTACACAAAGGCTTTTGATTCTGTGGATCATGACAAGCTATGGACAACATTCGAAGTATGAGTATTCCAGAACACTTAATTGTGCTCATGAAGAACCTGTATATAAGACCAAGAGGCAGGTGTTCGACAGAACAAGGGAACATTTTGTTGTTGTTAAGTACCATTGAGTTGGTTCTGACCCATAGTAACCCATATAGGGTTTCCAAGGAGCAGCTGGTGAGCTTGAACCACTGACCTTGTGGTTCAGACCAACTCTTCAGACCAGAGCACTAGCCCACAGTGCCAGCCCAGGATTCCATAGAGTGGTTTAAACTTTGGAAAAGTGTGCACTAGAGTTGTATTCTTTCACAATATGTATTTAATCTGTGTGCTGAGAAAATAATCTGAGAAGCTGGATTATATGAAGAAAAATGTTGCATCAGGATTGAAGGAAGACTCATTAACAACCTGCAATATGCAGATGATAAAACTTTGCTTGGTGAAAGCAAAGAAGACTTAAAATACTTACTGATGAAGATTAAAGACCACAGCCTGATATGAGTTGCATCTCGGTGTAAAGAAAACAAAAATCCTCACCACTGGACCAATAAACAACATCTACATAAATGGAGAAAAGATTAAAGTTGTCAAAGATTTAATTTGCTCAGATTAACCATCAACACTCATAGAAGCAGAAGTCAAGAAATCAAATCACTTGCCTCTCCTTTAAGGCGTCATTTCTACCATACATCCTCTCCATGGAGCCCTCCTTAATAAACCCTATCTCTACATTTTTTTTACCTATACAGTCTAAACATTCTGATTTTTCACCTGTATAACCTAAATGTTCTGATTTTCTACCTGTACAGCCTAAGCATTCTGATTTTTTACCTGGATGGCCTAAACATTCTGTTTTTTTTACCTGTACGGCCTAAACATTCTGATTTTTTACCTGTACAGTCTAAACATGATCCGGCCATTCTGTCTGGAATCATCCGTCACAGCTGGGTTTGCACAACAGACCTTGGGCAAATAACACAACCTTTCTGAGTCTCATTTTCCCA